CCAGCCGCCGCCGCAGTTCTCAAACCTCCAGTCTCCCAGGAGCCCTGACGGGCTGCCCCTCTTCACCCCCACAAGTCCGAGCCCCTAACCCCTCCGGTCAGACTTGCAGGAGTGGGGCTGCCCCGCCAGAGGGAGGCTCTCCCAGCGAGAGAGCCCACCCGGGCGAGTACCTGAGCCGAAATGAATCCTTCATACACGGTTTTCGCCCGGTTCTGGGGCAGAAGCAGCGGGCACTGGCGCAACAGGCTGGCTTCCGTCTCCGCCATGGCTCGCCGGCCGTGGTTCGCCCGCCGTGCGAGCGCCGGGAACTTACGGCCGCCGAGCCCGCACATGCGCAGTCCCGCCTGCGTCTCGGGCGCCGAGGCGGAAACCGGCGCGTGGGCGGAAAAAGCCTCGAGGATTCCGCAGGAGAACACGAAGGTCTGGTGCTAGTGGGGACACCTGGACTCAGGGCCCGCCCAAGAAACGCGGCTCGGCAGGAGGCGGCATCGGGAGGCAGGAGAGAAGATTGCTCTCAGGTTCAGGGGCCTGACCAAGCAAAAGCAATCTAGCCTTGATTGCCCCAAGAACACTTGGAAACATGTTAATCCAGACTCAAATCAACACCAGATTCAGGTCTGGTGCGCTGCACTCACAAATATCTAAGGATAAACAGGAGGAGAAATTGCTGATGGACATGATGAACCAAAGTTAACTGTCCTTTAACAACCCTTTCTATACATTTTTTTTAATTCAAGAAGGGGAGGGGGAGGTAGTGCTTAGCACGCACAAGATGCCAGGTTCAATTCCCCAGTACCTTCATTAAAACAAACAAGAGTCAATCTAATTCAAGAACGATAATTTTACATTCCCTTTTACAAACGGTTAGGGAATTTACTAATATTTACTGGACTACATTTTATTCCTATCTGTATTCAACCCATTACATTTTTGAGTCCTAGAATTTGCAAAACATTGTAATATACTGCAGGCTCTGCAAAAAAATGAATAAGATATACACTCTCCCATCTTTATTGCCCTCAAAATGAGATTAAACTTCTTGAAGATTCTTAAAGTTTGACGAGAATTATCAGAGTATTCTGGGTGTGTAGGGGAAAACAAGATTGTTGCAGCAGTGGTAAATTACACCAAAGCAGTGGTTCTCCAAATGTAATCCTGGAACCATCAACATCACCTGGGAACTTTATAGAAAGTTAGATTTTTCACCCCTCTACCTCAGACCTAATCATCAGGCTGCATAGCACTATTATAGACTTCATGGGATTTATTTAAGTTATAAAACAGCTAGCATGTGTAAAGCACTTTCACATTTTATTTTATTTAGTTTTGATGGCAGTGTTCTTTAGGTAGGTATTTTTTAGAATGTCTATTCTGTGTACAAGGAAACTGAGATTCAGAGACATTAAATAAATTGTTCAAGATAGTGACTTAGTGACCTGTACAATGAAGATTAAACTCAAATCTTTTAAATTCTAGATTCAATAACCTTTCCATTAAAGCATGGTAGAGATGAACTTCCCATGAAACTCAGGGGAAGTTTATCTAAAGTTGTTACTGACTCATGCTAACAGTGGGGTTTCAAGAATTTAATTTGAAAGTTTGATAACAGATTTACCAACATAATAAACTTCTTAATATAATCCTAGCATGTTCTACCTAAGATCCACGTATTATGAGGAAAGAGCCTAAGAACATTTTACCCAATAGATTCCTCAGGAACTAGAGGTTTCCCATGACAGTAACTGTAGAGCACCCTCATTACATAGATTGGGGGAATGAAATCCAGAAAAGAAAGTAATTTTCTCAAAGTGCTAGGGTTGTGTATGGGTGTGGGTGTACATACATATATGAACATACAGAAAGGCCAAACTAATACAGTTCTGGGGACACTTAGAAGCTTCTGGAAACTTCCTAAATATCAGTTTAGTCTTCTATGAACAGATATGCACCCCTGTCCAGACAAGCCATCTTCATCACACTCATACCCACTACCACTGGTATACTGGACTATGTAACTTAAAGCCAAACTAACAGCCAGCCTCTGAATCCTCATAACTAACTTATTAGATGTAGAGATTGTCACAAAACATATTGCCACGTATCACCTTAGCCCCTAAGGGGAAGATATCCAAATCACCATTCATAGAAGCTGAATTTGCAAATGAGCATTCATTATGGATAAAGTGTGTAATCTAAGGAATCCAACCATCAGAGAACAAAGGGAGATACCATATAAAGACTTTTTAATTCAATGATTCAACCATTCTCCTTAGGTTTCCAAGACTGAGTGATGGATCTCACTGCCATCATCAACTCATATGTGATAAGCTGGGGCCATTGTTCACATCTAGCCCAGTCAAAGACAGCCACCGTCAGATTCACAGAGAATATTCAATGTGTTTAAAAGTCAGAAAGCCAATGAGCTATTACCACCACCAGCATTATTTTAATTTTGGAATCACTCTGACAAACTACATGCATATCTGCACCAAAGTTCAAAGTCTTCAAGGAATCCTAGGCATGACTTCTTTTATATATCCTATGGTAAATGCTATTTCTTGAGGAAGAACTATGTGTTCTAAAATGGAAGAATCTCAAAACATTTTCATGAAAGAAAAACACAAGTTCCAGAATAGTATGTTTACTACTATACCATTTATGTTAAAATAAATAAATAAACAAACTCACAGGATTTTACTAGTAGTGGTTACTTTTGAGGAGCAAGATAGGGGACAAGAAATGGGAGGAATAGTCAGAGGAGACTTTCACCTTATCTGTTATATTTAAAATTTTTAAAAGGAGACTATTAGTCTTAAGAGTTTAAAATTATAAGAAGTAATACCATTCCAGTTAGCATCTATCACTATTTTATTGCCTACATTTTCAGCTTTGTCTCAGGTGTTTCTTCTCCCAGTTCCCATCAGTAATGGAAGAAGATAGGATGTCAGCCATTAACATGAATGAGAATAATAAGGGAGAGACTGCTTGGGAGTACTGAAAGATATGGGAACAATGTTGGAAAATGCCAACATTAAGGAAAAATGGAGAGAGAACAGCCTGTTAAGGGTCTTCTAGGTTTATGGCAAAGATGGTGGAGTAGGAAGACCCTGAGCTCATATCCTCCCAGTAGCATACAAAAGCTACAATTTACAGAACAATTATCTATGAGAACAACCTGAAGACTAGCAGAAAAGATTTTCTACAAGAAAAAATATAGAGAAGGAACCACAGCGAGACAAGTAGGAGGGATACATCCATGTGGTATAGTCAATACACACACCCCTGGGTAGAGGGTAGTTATCACACACAAATGGGAAGATGATCACAATGGCAGAGGTTCTCTGCAAAGATCAAGGGGTCTGAGTCCCACATTGAGCTCCCCAGCCCAGGGATCCTGCACTGGGAAGATGAAACCCCAGAACATCTGGCATTGAAGACCAATGAAGCATGTGTTCCAAAGTGCTAGAGGACTGTAGGAAACAGAGACTCTGCTCTTAAAGGGTGCACACAAAATCTTGTATGTTTTGAGTTCTGGCTCAGAGGAAGTAAGGATCCTGAATCAGACCCATTGCTGATCTTGGAGAGCCTCCCAGAGAGGCAGGAGGCAATTGGAACTCACCCTGGAGACAAGGATGGTGGAGGTAGCCATTCTGGGAGCTCATTCTATCTAAGGATGCTGCTGCTGGTAAGCACCATTTTGAAGTCCTCCCTCTAGCCTATTAGTGCCAGGACTTAAGTGCCCACCAGTAGGCCAGCACCAGTCCTGGGACACCCTTAGCCGAGAAGTCACCATGCAGGGACCCAGCACTGCCCATTAGTGGGTCAGCAGCCACTGCACAAGGCAGGCCTGGGTGCTGGGTGATGACAATCGTGCCCAGAATAGTTGGCCCCATCACAAAGAGGGGCCCACGCAGCCCACATAGGGGGTGCCATAGAGCATGTAGCTCTAGTAACCAGAGGGAAGTGAGCTGCTGGGCCCTATGAAGTGGCTTCAAAAGAAATGTTAAAGAGACTTCTCTAAGCAGAAAGAAAAGAGCACAACTAGAATTATAAAAGGAAAAATCTCATTGGTAAAGGCAAACATAGAGTAAAGGTAGTAGCTCAACCATTTACAAAACTAGTAGGGAGTTTAAAAGACAAGTAGTAAGACCATCTATCCACAATAAGTAGTTAATCGATGCATAAAACAAGAAGGCATAACACATGCCGTCAAAAACATTAAACTTGGAGGAAGAGATAACAAAAAGCAGAGTTGATAGAATGCAGCTGAACTTAAGAGAATATTCATCAACTTAACCCTTACTCACTGTTGGCGCAGCCATTATGGAAAACAGAATGGAGGGTCCTCAAAACATTAAAAATGGAACTACCATACAATTTAGCAATTCCACTACTGGATATTTTTCCCCAGAAAAACAAAAACATTAATTCAAAAAGATAAATGTACCATTTTGTTCATTACATCACTATTTATAAGTTAAGATATGGAAGCCACTTAAGTGTCCGTTGGTAGATGAATGGATAAAGATGTAGTATATATACACAATGGAATATTACTCAACCATAAAAAAGAATGAAATCTCGCCATTTGTAACAACACAAATAGACCTTGAGGGTATTATGCTAAGTGACATAAGTTAGAGAGAGAATGACAAATACCATATGATTTCTCTCATGTGTGAAATCTAAAAACCAATAACATAACAAAACAAAGAAATTCACAGATACAGAGAAGAATTGGTGGTTGCAGAGGAGAAAGGAGTGGGGTAATTGTCAAAATTAAGTGAAGGGGATTAAGAGGTACAGATTGTCAGTCATGAAATAGTCATGGGGATGTAGTGTACAGCATAGAGAATACAGTGAACAATATTTTAACAACTTTGTATGGTAACAGATGGTTACCAGTCTTATTGTGGTGACCATTTCAAGGTGTATAAATGTCCAGCCACTATGTTACGCACTTGAAACTAATATAATGTTGAACGTCAACTATATTTTAAAAAATGAAACTGATAAAAGATGAACTTCAACTTACCAAATTACAAAAAAAAAAAAAGATTAAGGCATGGTCAGTAGTGTGGAATGTTACATAAAGTTTGAAAAAGTTAAGAATTACATGGGGACCTTTGGATTGGTAAAAGTATTGATTAACTTTAAAGAGCGGCTTGCTCTTGCTCATTTTTTTCTATCCAAACAGAAAAATGCAGTTCATAAATGGTGATGTAGTAATTTTGGCATTACTTGCAAGTGTAAAGCCTTGAGAAGCATATGTTCATGATAAATAGTCCATAAAGACTTAGTTAT